TCGAGTAAGCTGTGGAAGGTGAGTTTCCAACAAGGATGAGCAAGAAAAATGTTGCTGCCCCATGAGATATTTTGAATTAAAAATTGAAATTTTTCAACTAGCTACTGCTGCGGCAGAAACCTCCAAAATAGTTCTTTTTGGACGAAACCTTGGCTGCAGGGACTGCGCGGGTCTCTGATCATGAACGTGAGATCCACTTGTCATTGGCGCCATATGGCGCCAGTAGGCGCCACTTTGGCGCTAGCAGTCTCTTTGACACCGAATTTGATAGAAACCTCTACACCTGGGTTATTTGACATCCTTGTCACGAATATATTGTTACCTTCCGGAGTCGGCGCCACTTGGCGCCAGCGGGCGCCACTTTGGCGCCAGCGATCCTTCTGACACCGATTCCAATGGAAACCTCTACACCTAGGTTATTTGACATCCTTGTCATGAATGTATCGTTTCCTTCCAAAGTTGGCGCCACCTGGCGCCAGCGGGCGCCACTTTGGCGCCAGCGATCTTTTTGACACAGAATTTGATAGAAACCTCTACACCCAGGTGATTTGACATCCCACATGAACGGCATCCGCAAGGAGTTCCTATATGGTTGTTCTTGGTAGTTATTGATCCACAGCACGCAGTTTCCCCCAGTGAAGCAGTCTGGCTTCTTCTGGTCTACGAGCGAGACTCTGTACTTCCAGATCAAGGCATTTTCGCAGGTGTAGGTGGAGCTTGTGCGAAGTGGCAGGGGCCTCTCATAGTGGGCGGAGCCGTTTGGTGATCTTGAGATGGTGAACAAGTGATAAAATATGGATAGTGGAAGAAAATATGGATAAATAGTGATAATAAAATATTGCTAGAAATCGCGAAAATCGATCTAAAGTGGGGGAGCTAAGTGTGCGGATTGCATCTTCGTGCAATTGCTTGTCTGTGAGCAATATGTGAAGAGTGTGTTTGAAAGCGTCAACGTTGAGATAAGGTATGAAAATAAATATAAAACAACCTGTTAGAAAGTGTGGTATGGGCCATCAATGAATCATTGTAATGTGTGAAAAGCAGAAAATTCCAAGAAAATTCTCAGAAACGGAAGTTATGGTACACATTTTGGAAATCACGATCGCGCTAAAAAGTGGGCGTGATCGCAGTGGGCGGGGCATGAGATGGCATCCAATAGGTCAAATATGGTTGAATTAGCATCCTGCACGAATTCCTGACTTATCTTTTTGCGAAATCTTCGCATAGCGGTAAAAAAAAGTGAGCCCACGAGGACAACACTGAGCCACCGTGCTCAAGGGCGGACGCATTGCGGAAAACATCGCCCATTGCAGCCTTCGAAAAACCAGTTGTCGTCAAGTGTTAACATATACTGAAAATGTTGCTATCTGACCAATGCCAAGCGATTACAACAATCAAAGCATTTAAAAAGTGTAGCGGAAGGAGGAGAATTAGCAACGAGCACCCCTGCAAATAGAATACCTGTTACTAGTTTATTTATCTTTCTATAGTTATTTGCGATTCGAGAAATTTGTAACGTTATAAATTTATTTTTGTGACTACATTTTACAAAAGCTAGTAATAACGAAATCTTCTTCGTAGCCATTTTTCAAAAGGGTTGTGACCATATCCGTTATTTTGCTGACGAAAACGTTGAAGAATGAACAGTTGGGTGAGTTTGGCGTGGCACCAGCCTGTTCCACAGCAATTGTGGACGCAGAGCAGACTGCGAGCCTCGGTATATGCTCGCACGATGCACCAAACAACAGGCTATGCGTACCTAGAAAGAGGATCGCTGGGGTGCCTGAGGCATCGATTGCGCGTGGCGCCTTCAGAGGAGCTGTCGACAAAGCTGCAGCCTTTTTTGGAGAATGCTAGTTTGGGGGGGGGGGGAACCGTGCGGCGGCGCCTACTTATGCATGTCATGCGCAAGTGCAGCTTGGGTGGAGATCAGTATGGACGTATACTCAAGCGAAAGTTATAACAGACCCAACTTTGTGAAGACTCAACTCATGTAAAGCTAATCTAACTAAATTTTCTACATCATTCTGTTCCTAGCTTTTCGCAAGTTTTCAAGGGTTCTGAGGTCCAACGATAACTCAGCGAAGCTTGCGCCATTTCGCAGCTTTGCAAGAGTGTACAGGTCTTACCAAGGTGGGGAAACTGAGGAAGCTAGCGAGCTAGCAGAGCGTACCCTTAACCTGAACAGCTCCAATGCAAATAACAGCCAAATATCGGAATTCTGCACAGGATCAAGGTGAAAATACAAGTGAAGAGTATAAGATTTCGTTCTTCACTGCAACGCCCTCTGTCACATGTCTATTCAGCCGTCAATGCAACATTTTCGTGATTTCCGCAACTTCTTGGTATGTGTCCATGAGAGAGTGATCGTTTTCTGAGGCAATCGAAGATGCATTTTATCTTCTTTAGAGGCGATCGCAGAGCTTGGAACCTATTTGGAGAATTAGCAGTTGATGGTGGTCTCGAGGGTTGTCTTTGCGGGGCTTCGAATAGGGATATACACGGTTTAACAATCAGATGAGAGGACGCAGAGAAGCAGACGTGACATGGCATAACTGCCGCATGTCCTTTTTTGACATTTGTCAGCGTCACGATCATGGCATAAACAGAATCAGGCGTGCCATACAACAATTTTCATCATTATACCTCAATCACTGGCTAGTCCTTACTTTGAAGAGTAGCGGCGCGTAACTGAAAAAGACACAATGGTAAGCGGAACTCTCTACTCATGCGAACAGCGTGCAACGTTCATTTAAAGACGCTGTTCGGCATTGCCAGGTGGGCGGAGCCAGAAAGCCACGTCATTAGCGCGCTATGGTGCAGTTTGACGACGGGGGGGCATTTTGTACTATCATTGCTTCCTTAGTTCCGGTTTCACATGTCTCACTCTGGCGAAACCTGTGAACTCTTGTGAAGCTGGAACAAGGTCATCGCAATCATATTAAAACCTGTCAACTCAAGAAGGAAGAGGCTGTCTAGATAGGTCAACGTCGATGGGAAATAGCAAAAGTGCAAATCGCCCCCACCCCCCTCCCGTCGTCGAACAGCGCCGCGCGCTCCTTCCCTTCTGTACCAGGTAGGGAAAAAGGCGGCAAGCGGAATGCCAGGTGGGCGGAGCGAGTAAGCAGGACCGTTAGCACTCCCCCTATTCTTGTATACAGTGGCGGTGAAAAAGACGGGTAGCTGAAGACGTTTGGAAATGCCTGTTGGGCGGAGCCAGTAAGCAGCGCGGTCAACGCACCCGTACTCTTTCTGCATCACTGACGGTGAAAAAAAGCGGGAAAGAGGGCTCAATGACGTCGTTCCCTTGCTCTCTCCCTCGCCAGTGCCAGTCTTGGGTATTGAGCTTAAGAAAGGTTTCCTTGTTCCTTAATGCAGCTGCGCTTTTGCAGCAGCTTCGTTGTGTTGCTACTGCCCACTTTCGTTTGGTTGATGGTTTTACTTCAGCACCATTCTATTTCTTTTCTTCGTGAACCCTCCGGTGCTTGAGCGGTGGCAAGTTTGCAAGAGCTAGGGAAGCGTGTAACTCGACGGAAATCGATGTAAAATTTCGCATATGTGATCAAAGCGATCTCATTCCGAATGCTCACAAATTATTTGGAGGCGAGATCGAAGTGAGTTAATTGCCTGGTGTAATAATTTACTGCAGGCTGCGATCTTCATAAAATTTTTATAGTGTCATTTGCTGCTTGCAGGTTTGATGATTAGTGACGAGGCTTGACACCAGGTGTGTAACTGGCGAGATCGTCGAGCGAATTTGCAAATGATGATGTCGAAAGGGTGCCTCATATCGATAACACTTCAGTTCCGTGGGTAACTGAACGATGTGCGGTAGCATATGTCGCATGACGAGATCACAATGCTGTTGACTCCCATGACATGTCCACAACATGTTAAATGACGTGCCTTCCAAAGCGGCGGATGACTGGTCCAGATCATCTACCACTGAATTTTCGTGATTGGCAGTCTGCAGAACCGCTGTGTCTTCGTCTACTTTGTCTAAATTGATGATATTAGGAGGCGTCTTAATCGAAGACCGGGACGACTAATGCCCGCTTCAGCCGTCACGCCGTAAAGATATCTGTGTGATGTTCGATGAGGGCCGTTGAAATAGCAAGGGGGGGGGGTACACTTTGTGAGTCCTGTAATCTTGTGTGAAGCTACGAACTAGTAAAAAGGGCGACTCTAGTCGCAAAAGTTTGCAGGTATTCTCCAAACTAAAGGCTCCCCTGAGTTTCACTGTTTGCCCCACGCCCCCTCCCCCTCACCATACCAAACTGCCCCGACAAAAGGGTTCGGGAATTTGTGGAATCAAAATCCAGACCATATGACCCTAATATAGATAAGATGATGATGACTTTGCAACTTAAATAGGCCAATTATCACGAAAATGTAGTAATCAAAAATCTTGGTAAGCTGTTCGAGATGGAAAACGCGCTGCATGACGTGCAGCCTCCCATGTGAAGCGGCTAGGGTGATGTCATCTGGCGCCATCACGTTGTCACTATCATGTCAGGACCATCTTCTTCTCAGGGCTGCTCGTCCAAAACTTTGCGCTAGTGGGTTCACCTAAAAGATCATTAGAACGCTATTGATCTGTGAAACAAAAAGTTCACGACTTATATGCCATTCCGGTTACAAATACCACGTAGCTTAGTGATTTGGGCACTTTTTAAAATACCTACCAAGTTGGATAACATTACCTGGAAAGACATATCAAAAATTGTGTGGTCGCGACGAACTACCGCTTTCCATATATAGGTGGTGAAAGTTTATAAACACTACTAAGATCCTAGGGAAAAGCAGCGTTCACTAGGTTTGAATAGGCTGCAAATTTCGGGGATGTTTTTCGATTCTTATCCAGTGCTGCATGGTATGTATTTTTTAGGGGAACAAGTAAAGGAAGAAATTTTTTTGACAGGTTAATCAGTACTTTCTCTCTCCCCGATACCCTGCCGCCATGGTTCTGGGAAAAAACGCATTCTAAGGATCAAAATTTAATGCTGTGGGAAATGAACGTGGAATTCGTGGTGTTATTGAACCCAGTTCCAGCTGATCTATACTCAGCCAATGTAGGAAGCATACCTATTTTTAAGCGTCGGGTACGATACAGCCTGTGCAATGCCACCAACCTGTTTACCGCGGTTGTAGTCCACGTGGGCGGGCTCGTGCCTTTGATCATCACTCCCCCGTTGGCACGCCTACATATTTCCAACATTTTCAACACGGACTCCGTAATTGATGGAGGTACAACGGTGAGCCCCACTTTGCCCATACTGTTAGCGTGAACTGTTTCTTGGACTTCAGCTCTAATCATTTTCCGCCCTCCAGCTGGGCACAATTCGGACCCCGGGCTATCTTAGTGATTCAGAGAAGTAGAAATAGAAACAATCAGCTTGTGTTTCCCATGCAATTGTTCACTACTTTCAGGTAGAAGATGGCTGGATGAAAGTCGGAAAACTACTGTATAATCCAGCAGAAGTTCTTGGTCGAGGTTGTGAAGGAACCGTTGTTTATAGGTGAAATACTTTATTTCAACATATTATCAAAAGTCATTACTATTTGGTTGGCAGTAGCTCGAATGCTCTTGTTTTTAAGGGGAAAATTCGATGGTCGAGATGTAGCCGTGAAACGGGTGGTCTCTGAATTTGTAAGACTAGTCGATCGAGAAGCTGATCTTTTGCGTGAAAGCGACACACATCCCAACGTTATTCGATATTTTTGTATGGTATGGTTTCAGTTTTGAAAAGTAATATTGGTTGGTATGTTGCTGTAATGCAGCCCATATGCTGAACTTGTTAAACTCCTTTTTAACCCTCTTTCGCTGAATAAGTGGGGGTGAAATGGCTCCGATGTTTAAAGTGTGGATAGCAATTCGTTCCAGGAGTCCGACAGCCAGTTTCGATATCTTGCCCTGGAATTATGTATAGCATCGTTGAACGATTATGTGCATGAGGTAGCCGTTCGTGAAAAAGTAAGTGTTCTGAAGTTGTTTTATGTGATAGCCGCTGTTTTACGCCGCAGTTCGCGTTCCGAAAGTTATCACAAGAATGCTGAGTTATGGGCAAAAGTCGAACCCCAGGCGGGAGTCGAACCCGCACCTCACGCTTTCCGGGCGAGTGCGCCATCCTTTACGTCGGCCCTGGTGGCGTAACGGATAGCGCACTCGCCCGAAAAGCATTAGTCGACTCTTACCTGGGGTTCGACTTTTGCCAATAATTCAGCATTCTTGTAGTAAGTGTTCTGACTTTATCTCATCTGCACGGCAGAGTTGTGCTTTTTTCAGGTTGACATTAATCCCACCGACTTGCTCCATCAAGCGACAGAAGGCCTTGCTCACTTACATATCATGCAGATAGGTGTTTTGAGTGGATAGGTCACCCTATTGTGGAGCGCTCTCTTAGTAGGGCATGACGTATAAAGAGGGTGCGGATAATGTTTATGGTGGGTTCCCGTCTGCGTTGTAGACAAAAGCCGTCAGACGGGGGAAATTAGGGAAAAAATAAGAATTAGGGAAAATTACTGGAAAGTACCCTCCGCTCGGAATTTCATATGCGGCGTATGGTATCCCTTCCACGTCCTTCCATCTTCATGAATTTCCAAACATTCTACCACTTTTCCAGTTTTTTCCCGTAAATTGCTCATAACTGCCGACCGGTGGGGAAGTGGGAGAGAAAAGGGGCAGGGGAGGTTATATAGCGCACATGAAAATGGGAAAGAACGAGAACGGTCAGCAACCTCTTTCGTTAAAGATCCCCTCGTACGATATGCCGCTCACACGAAACAAGGATCAGCTGCCTTTTTAATTTGGACCCCCCCCATTTCTCAATTATTTCTCATTTGTTCATATTTGAATCAGTGATTTTTCTTTGTTGCGCGGTCTGTTATATGGCGGCATCAGTGGGGCGTAACGGATAGCGCACTCGCAGAAGGTGCAAAGTGTGAAGCGCGGGTTTGATTCCTGCCTTGTGGTAGGAATTTTCCCATAGCTCAGAATTCTTGTGATAGCTCGGGCATCTTTTTTAGGCGCTGTACTAACAAAATCTAGAGGCAGAGGTCAAGTACACCTTCTCAGAAGGCTTAGGTAGCTCTTAAAGACAGCGCCCGCGATGGACTTTGGCAGGTTTCAGGGGTCACATTTGCTAGAACAGGTGGCCAATGAAGCACTAATCAAAAAAAGCAGGAAAAAAAAAAGGTGTGGAAAAATAAGACCCTATGAAATTTAAGGCATGTGGACGAGTTTCGCAAACTTCTGGTGAGTTCTCCAATACACGTCGCCGCCTCGGAACTCTAGAAATTCAGCGTATATCAATGCCAGCAAGCATTGATAACTGTCAACCAGTCGGGGCGGGATTAACAGGACAGGAGCGTCAGCCCGGCTCTGTTGACTCCGCCCTCGTCAACCAATCGATTTCGAGCCGCAAGAGTGGGATTTCTGCTGTGATTGCGAACTCCGCGTTCGTTTTCAGGTTCTTCACTTTGTTGATGCGCGGACGCTTGCACTTTAATGACCTCTCAGAAGGCTTAGGTAGTGCTTAATCTATTCCTGGTTTACTTTTCACTGTGTTAGTGTGCCTCATAGAGAAGGCGGAGAGTTTTTTTCGAAAAGAGCTAGCAAAAAAACGTACTATGGACTATTCCTCGCCTAACTCGCATTGATCTGGGTACAAAGTGTTCGGTTTGATCACTGTTGTTTGACGCCTCAGTTCGCGCTCCTGGAATTTCCCAAGAATGTTGAGTTATGGGCAGAAATCTTGGCCACAGGGGGGGGGGGCTCGAACATGTACCTCACGCTTCTCCAGGCGAGTGCGCTAAATGCTGTACCACCAGAGCCATCTCTCACTTTCTCACCGGCTTTTGGTTCGTAGCCTTAGCGCACTCACACGTAAGGGTTTATTTTTACAGTTCACCGAGATATGAAGCCTCAAAACGTGCTGCTGTCCGAAAGGATCTCGCGGAGTACGAGCAGTCATTTCTGATTTTGGGCTTTGCAAGCGCGTTCAACCAGGACGTCACTCACTCTCTAAAAGGAGCGGTCTCGCAGGAACGGATGGTTGGATTCGCCCCAGAAGCCCTTACTTCGCAGAGTACGGTAAGTATTCAGAAATATTTCGGCACAGCGAGAACGATGTTGTTTTATAAGCATAAAATTGTTGTTGTAGAGTTTCCCCGTTGATGTGTTCTCCCTTGGATGTATATTTTACTACGTTTTGTCCAATGGTGACCATCCATTTGGCGATAGTTTGCATCGGCAAACAAATATTATTAATGGAGAGTACGTCCTTCTCGGAATCAAAGATGGTAAGCATATTGGTGGGTTTGTTGCTGAGGAGAAAAATCTCTCGATGTTCAGATGGCCGTGAAACTGTTTCCTTAATCGAATCGATGATCCAAAAGTCGCCAACAAATCGGCCTTCCATTCAATGTGTGCTGGCTCATCCATTCTTTTGGGAACCTGAAAGGCGATTGCAATTTTTCGGGGTATATCTTTCTATGAATATTTTCTTATTTATTTGCGTTGTGAACGTTTTATGTGGTAGTATAGTCTTGTTCGCTGCGGCTGAAGGAGTGTGACCGGCAGAATAAGCTTGGCGCGGCTCCAAACCCGTTCCTCTTCGGTTGTTGAAACGAGTGAGAGCAGGAACAACTGGAGGAAAACGACAGATGCAAACGATATGATGCAGTCTTGTCGCTTGCTTGCTTCAACAATTGGTGGAAAACGGGTTTGGTGCCGCGCCAAAACCATCCCGCCTGTCACGCCCCTTGATCAGCAGCGAACAAAAGCGTGTATTAT